TTCATTTCATAGTACTCCTTCCCTTATTTCCCATTTCTAGTTCAGATGCTTTCTGGATTTAACACTCTGAAATCGAAGACTTTTGATGAGTCCTTTATCAAAGTACAACCTACGGTTTGTTAATACTACTACTAATCTTTATATAGTATCTTTCTTTTAAAGGGCTTAAAGTGTTCCACATGTTGTCACAATTACTTTATTAATAGTCTTGGGTGGAAGTGTATTGGGGTCATCATCCTTATTCCTTACACCTGCTGGGAAAATGGCACGCTAATAACAGAACAGCTGACATTTATTGGGCCCTTATCGAGTGCCAGGCAATGTCATAAGCACTTTACATTTAATCCTCACAAAAACCCTATGGGGTAGGGACTGTTATTATCCCCATTACAGATGAGAACACTGAAGCACATAAATATTATGTGACTTCTAAGGTCGCTGAGCAGGGAAGTGACTAAGCCAGATTTACACTCCCCGGCCCGTGCTTGTAACCACAAACTGGCAGGCCTCTGCAAACAAGTTCCCCTCAAGGATCTCCCCAGTGGCTGCTGAGTCTGGCACATAGGTCTTAAGCTTCACTTCTTCTAACTCTAGACTTCCCCTATATGAGTCTGCATCCCATGACTTCGTTTATAAACTCAAAACCTTTAAAAACAAGTCCATGTATAGCTATAGTTATAAATAGATTTTATTAACTTGAAATCCATTTTATCCTACATATTATTCCATTATCTAAAATACCATTTTCAAACTTTACTGACCATGATTAGGAATAAACAATGCACTGTGACACCACAATCCAATACATGTGCACATACACACCTGGAAGAAATGTTTCATGAAACCAGTTTACCCATATTATGACTCACACTCTTCATAATCCCTTTTCTATTTCAGTTAAAGGTGCTGGTTACAGCCTACTACACTGACTTTATGACTCATTAGCAAGTTGGGACTGACAGTTTCACAAACTCTCATCTAAGTTTTATATTATCTCTTATAGTTCCATTGAGTACAAAATGAACAAACAATAAAGGAAGTCAATGAACAAACTTTATTACTGAATGTATCACCCCAACAAACTATTTCCTGTAGTGCTATCACACTAAGTTCATATGTACACAATTTTGGTTTCTGCATTTAAAAAAATTGTCATAGTATCTTAACAACTGTGACATTTCTAGGAAACATATCATTTACCTAAAACTAATATTGAGCTACATGCAATTTATGAGAATTCAGTACAATTTCTCATGTCTGGCATCAAAGCAAACATAAAAGCAGAAAAGTTTTGGTTGAAATAGAAACTGTTATCTAAAACTCATTTGTGTTGTATTGGATTGACATAATTCAGAAACAACCAGGTTGATGGTTTGGGGTGGACTCTGTGTTGCTCAAGTTCAATTCAAAGTTTAAACACTGACTTGAACACACTGAGTGGTGAAAATACTAATGGAGCAGGAGGCAAGATAGAGCCAAAGGGGTGGTCTGAAATAAGAAAGCCCACTCATAGTCCATTCATCCCACGGCCAGCTTTGGAGCCCAGCTCTCTTGTCCTCCAGACACCATTTCATGAACACAACAGCAAGTTTACTTCAGACTTCAAATGGTGATAAAAATCACTGAGCTAATCTGCAGCTAGGGTAAGTTTCACTAATATGAAGAGAGTGATATTTTTCAAGCTGGAGCCCTTTGTATTGTTCCATGCACTCAGGTATAGATTATGCTTCCAGGAAATGCCTTTTTGGCACACTGTCACATTCCCCACTGAGGCAGTTTGGAAATTTTTCTTCCCCTCCTGTCTCAGAGGAAGAACTGTCCCTTCTCCTTTCCAGAACTACCCCACAACTGGGGCTTGATACCATCCCCCTCTACCTTCTCCAAGATTCTATTCTAGAAAGGATCTTTTCTCCCTCTTGCCTTGAAAAGGGGGAAACTCCACCCATCAACCTTGTCCACAGTTATATGTCTTCACCTTTCTCAAATGCTAAGGGAAAAAAAGCTTCTTTCCTGGATATGGCTGCTAACCCTACTTTTTCTTTTTGTTTATTTTTTTTAAACCACCTACTTCCCTTTAAACTCCTGCAAGCTAGCTTCTGTCCCTTCCACTCTGAGATCATTTTCCTGGTCCATAAGAGTTCAACAAACTTAAACCAGGCACTAGACTAGGCTCTGGGAATACAATGATAATGACAGAAGGCTCCTCCTCCCTTCCACTTTCTTCCACCTGTTTCCCCAAAGGAAATCCTTTTCTGACTTCCCCATTCTAACAATGGTACCCCACCCTTCCCAACACTCAAGTCCCAAACCTTAGAGCCAAGTTGAATTCATCCCTCTTCCCCATCCTCTCTGACCAAAAGTGCTGCCCAGCTCTGTGGAGTCTCTTTTCTCAGGCCTTTATCCTGGTTCTGAACCTGCGGCCCTTGTGCCTGGATCTCTGATGCATCTCCCTGGATTCATTGGCTTTCCCCCGTTTGTTCTGCATAAGGTTGTCTTCATCCCTGTCACTTACTCAGTACAGTATGTCTGTACTTCCTGAGGCACAAGCTCCCCACCCCAGCAAGACTCTCCATCACATGATTCCAAATCTCCTCTCCTGTTCCAGCCAAATACCACTGGCCACTCTCTAAAACACCCTGTAATGAAGCTAGCTTTTCTCCTCTGTGTTGAGGGTCAGGTCTTATCTCTGCCCCAAATCCTACTTCCTCCACCTTCCTGGCCCACTGGAAATTATATCTATCCTTCAAGGCCCAACACTAACAACTATCAGTTCTACAGAGACTTTTCCAATCTCCTTCTTGTGAGCTTCGAGTGTACTTCCTCTGCATTTCTTTTGCACAACTGAATGCAAATGACACCATACTGGAACCATACATATTTGCCATGTCACTTCTGCCAGACTGTCAGCATACTGAATGGGGATAGGTATCACTCATCCTGCATCACTTATTCTCAGCTGCCCTCATTGTTCTCGGACACCACCTGACATAGGACTCTGATTTGTTTTATCTGCATATTGTATTTTGGTGACTAATTTAGACTTTTTTAAAATGGTAAGTTTTAGTAGTTAAAACTGAGATAATACAATTTTCCAAAATATCTGTATGAGCAATTCAGTTCACATTTTTTTCTCTGATGTGTCACTTGACTGACATCCTAAAGGAAGAAGTAGGGATTCTCAGCACAGTTATAAAAAAAAAATCCCTTTGTGGATGACTCCAATGAAAGCAATACAGAATTCTAGGTTCTGGTACTAGATCCACAACATTCAGAAACATCCGATCTGTTTGTTTCCATCACTTTCTACTAAAACTGAGCTCAATTTTAAAAACCTGTTGTTATAAAACTCCATGGATGAGAGAGACACATAGGTTGCAGATAAAAGGTGATAGCAAAATCAGAATGAAGATAGAAATGAACCATTAGATTTGGCCAGTAAGAATTCAAAATCTCCAAAAGCAACCAGAAATATAGCTAGATACTAGAATGTGCTGAAGGAATGAACAAGCTAAATATTCTTTCCAGAAGTTGGGCATTAAAATGAGAGATGAGATAGTAGTTTAAGAGGAAAGCTGGAATAACACTTGACTTTTAGGGGAATAAACCCATAAGAGACAGAAGATGCCAGACAAAGGGGATGGCTGATGGGTCAAGATCTTGTAGTTCAAACCTGCTATGTGAGCCATTCCTTAAGTTTCTGACAAAATAGGGCTAAATATGCATAAACCAACACATGATATGTTTCCTAACTGAACCTTTGTAAATTCAATCCTCACATTCATAATAATTAGAAGTTGTGTTCCTATAGAATTCTTTTTACCCTAATAAAGTTAAGAATATTAAACATGGAAATATTTTAAGTCACATGTTTAATCAGAGACTTAGAAAAGGTTGAGAACAGATTCAGTGATCTGCTAGCAATAGATTTGATTCAAAGCATTACACTTTCATCTGTAATGAACATGAGACTATAAAGTTCTCATCATGATCCTTCTTATCTCCATAGCCTCTGTGAAAGGCTACTCCTCTCTACCATGTACCAACTTCCTGCAACTGAAACAACTGTTGGTGAAATACACAGGCAGAGAAGTCTTGTCTCCCTAGAAATTCTAAGACCTTTAACCAAGTTCTAAACATATTAAAAGACAGCTACAGGAAGGAAAGCTCTTTTACTGTATGATCTCTCATCACCTTCAGTTTATTCTGCAGTATAACTGTTTTCTACTTAAAAGAAAGGTGTTCACCTCCAAGTGTGAGAGTCAAGCAGGAGGAGGAGAAAGATAAGAGGATGCAAGCAAGAAGCAAGGCATGATGGGGAAAAAAGCAAGGTGAGACCAAGGCAGAATGTGAAGATTATGTGAAGAGCAACACTCACATAGTCAAAGTAAATTTACTCCAATGGTTTGGTGAAAAGGAAAGAAAAGTTTTAGGTACACATAATACTGCATCATCGTTTGGAATAAGTCATACATTGTAACTAATTAAATGTAACAAATTCAACTTGCTGCTGGCTGTAGTACCACTACAGCACATTGTATTTTAGAAGTGCATTTGCTTAAATGACATTTAGGCTCAGAGGATCTGGTCCCACTTATAACTGGAGCACAGAAGCCTGGCATGCTTTGCTTGTTACTGCCAAAGTGAAGAGCAATGAACTCTGGGACGAGACCTCACAGTATTGTGCTAAGCTACCCCCATCTTCTCATCATCTCATAGGTTTTAAAGGGCATGCTCAGGGTTGAAGAGCACAGGTTGCCCCAGGTGAAGCTCTAAGGCTCATATGAGGTTCCCACTAGCCTCTGGGTCTCACCCAGACCAACAGAAGGGAGATCTACTGCCTTATGAAGTGATGAAATCATAGTTAATCAACACTCCTAAATACATGTTGCACCAGGAAATGCAAAGCATGGAGTAAAAGAAAGAGAATCCAGCATGTGGGCATTTTTCACAGAGGAGGCATGAGAGAACCTTCTGATGCTTAGGTAAGTCCTGGAATTTACCAGACTGTGGGCCAGAGGAAAGGCGTATTTGGTGAGGATCTCAAACATATCTCTTCTGCTGTGGCCTTCCTGTTTCAATGCAAACCTCAGGTTTCTCATATCCTAGAGGCAAAGGAGAAATTTGATGGGTCAGTCTTCAAATAAAGTTGCATTAATTAGTTTTTAAAAATCTATTTGATTAAGGAAGTAGAAGAATCACTTACCTAAAAGGGCAATTATTCTAGACTACTAAGAAAATTACATTGTTTTATATAATATTTTGAAATATCAAGTTTAAGAACACCTGAAAATATTCCCATTGTACCCATAAAAATAAAGACAAAGTGACTAGTGCTAAAGAGAAGGTAGAGATAAAAATAATTTTATAAAAAGAAAAAAGAAAAAAAGTTAAACCTTGCCTGGTACATCATCTACTGTGTCTATGTTCACTGTTTCCAAGGTATTTTGAATTATCAAACAGTATTTTAGTCATGCAATGTTTCAAGAGTACCTGCTATCAAATATAATCTCAACATTGTTAAACATGTCATTAAAAGACAAATGTTCTCTCCCTAAATGGCAGTCATTCTAAGCTTTTATACAAGTAATGTAAGTAATATATTTTTACTATCCAATTTTACTTTCACAGAGCTTTATATAAACCACATTAAAGTACTCAGGATTAGTAGTAACTTTACTTAAATTAATGATCAAAACCAGATTTTAAAGGTAGCTTCCAAGGACACATTTCCTTAATAGACAAGAAAGCCTTTGAAATGAAATCCAAATGAAATAAGCTTCTTTAAATATCAATTTGTATTCGATATGAAAATATAGTATTCTATCTTACTTCAAGGCTGGAGGGTTTTTTTTAGGCTGTCTCTTTAAGGCAATCAATAACCATGTTGTGACTGAGTGCTGGCTAAGCACTGAGAACTCTTACTCTGCACCATACTTTCATTTCAGAAAAGCAAGCATTGTATTGGACACTTGGGCTATCTCAGGAGTGAGACAGGACCAGCCTCTGCCCTTTTAGATATCATAATATTCATATTTTTCAGTTACACTCTTAAGAGTACTTTTAAGCTTCATAATTCTTCAGCCGAAGGACCAGCAAAGGCTTTACCTATAAGGCAAGTGAAGTATGAACTAGACTCTAAGACCTTTAATGAATGACCTGACAGCTATCGCTCTGTATGCAGATGGCATCTATTAGGCCTTGCCAGTAGATGGATTCTGTGCTTCCTTTTTCTTTGGTTTGTTTTTGTAGTGTTCGGGATGGAACCCAGGGCCTCACATATGCTAGCCAAGAGCTCTATCTCCGAACTATGCCCCAACACCCATACTTTTCATTTTTAAAAACATGTTACTGAACAAAGTCCACCAACCAACTTTTATCATGTCCCAAGAAAGCTGGAGTGTTAGGTGTTGGTTCATGATGCAAAGCACTAATCATGCAAAGGGAAAAATGATTCCAATGGGATTAGATATGTTAACATAAGGGTTTACAAGCAGCCATAGGCACTACACTGGGTAGCTGCCAGACTGTCTAAGAAACTGTGAGAAACTTTCTTTTCTTTTCACCAGCCTTGGGCCACTGGTAACTCTGCAACATCATTCTCTTAACTACCTGGCCAGAAATTAGACTAGCTCCAAATAAATATTTATTCTAATGTACCAGTGCTTCAAACAAGTACTTTTCATGTTGCAAAGCAAAAGTGATTCAAGTAACTACTTTACGCCATTTGATTCAGATGCAGTTAAACACAGAATTATTTTTTCTTGCCAAGAAGAAAACTGAAGTGGAAAAAGCAAATGACTCACAGGTGGCAGATCACCAAATCTGTAACAGAAATAGGAGCATATTCTAAGAGGTAAGTTGCACCTTGTCTCCTCAGAGTTTGACTCATCAGGGAAGGGCACCTGGGAAAAATCCTTGTGGCATAGGATTCTCCCAGACTTTCAATCTATTTATCAATTGGGTCTTTTTTTTTGCAGTAGTGGGGCTTGAACTCAGGGCCTACACCTTGAGCCACTCCAGCAGCCCTTTTCTGTGATGTTTTTTTTTTTTCAAATAGGGTGTTGCGAGGTATTTGCCCAGGCTGGCTTCGAGCTGCCATCCTCCTGAACATTGCCTCCTGAGTAGCTAGGATTACAGGCCTGAGACAATGGCACCAGGCCTCAACTGGGTCTTAATAAGATGATGAAGAGCTGGTTAGTGAAGCACCATTTCTAAAAAACATGCACCTCACTTCCGACTTCAAAATACCAAGTAAATGTGAGTGAGGAGGAGAGAGAAGCTTCGCAGCACTATGGTTTTGCTGTGCTTTAGAAAAAAAGACTAAATGGTCAACATGGTCTGGTATATGGTCCACTGGGTAAAAATTCCCTTACGTACTTTCTCTCTGTTGCTGGACCTTGTCCTGGGACTGAAAGCCACCATGCGAATGTTACTACTTGGCAAGCAGAAACCCTCACGTGCACAGCTAGGACAGCCAAATGTGTGGGGTTGTTCCTAATTGTTTGGAGAGAGAAATGCACTTGTTTGGAGAGAGAAATGACTATCTACTGCAGGTGCAAGCTGACCTATGAGAAACAGGATAGCAAGGAGGTTTTTTGGCAGTAGAGGGGTTTGAACTTAAGGCCTTGTGCTTGTTAAGCAGGCACTCTTACCATTTGAGCCATGCCCCAGCCCCAGAGAGTGAGTCTTTATCCTACCATGTTAGACTCCTCTTATTTCAACACCACATCTGTTACTGAGAAAATAAAGTATGATTCTTGTGACATCAGCGTTTCTGGGGAGGTAATTTTGTTCAAAGGTTGTGCTACAACAATGTTCTAGGCATCACATTTGGGCACAGAATAATTCTAAGAAGTATATAATATGCAACACTTGAGAAATATGCCTGGTGAGTTATTTCTAAGCCTTTTGTTCTTATAATAAAGTTAAGGGGTGAAAGTGTATTTGTCTATTAATTTGGAGGATTCATATTTAAATTCAAATTTTCCTACTGATAAAGTAGCAAACAGGATTTTTTTAAAGTTTATTATAATGAAAGTCACTTTAAGATCATCAAAATATCAACTGCATTCCAAGTGCTTTAATACAATCCTCCACTCCCATGAATCCTTGTGTGCAAAATGCAAAAACCTTCCTTCAAATAAAATCTGCATTATTCTAGACTCCAAAGGGTAGACAGAGCTGGGATAATACATAAGACATAAAGGTAGCTTGGGTTTTTGTTTTGTTTCTTTTTAAAGCTGAGGTGGGCAGTAGTGGAGAATTTCAATTCAAGTTTAATAATGACATAATCCTTTGGTTTCCAGTAAGTGTACTTTATTTGGTCTTTCATAAACTGGATTAAAAAATGTTTTGAAGATAGATTCCAAACACACTTAGAGGATGGTGGCTTTTAGAAATCACAGTGCATGACACAAGATAAAGACTTGGGTTTTAATTAGGGCTCTTCCATTAGTTCCTCAGCAGCCCTAGGCAAGTCTGTGGTTTGGTGAAGGCCTCGTTTTTCTCTCTATGAATAAAGTACTTGGACTGGCCAGGGGTCAGCAAACTTTAGCCCAGGTCACTTCTTTCGTAAGGTCCTCAAACCAAGAATGTTATTTTACATTTTAAAAGGGTTGAGAACCCAAATCACAAAGAATATGCAACAGAAATCCTACATGGACCACAAAGCCTAAAATATTTGCTATCTGGCCCTTCACAGAAAAAGCTTCCTACTGACCCCTGCACTAGTTTGATGGTTCTGAGTCACCTGAAACACTTGAAAGCATCCCAACCTTCTGGTCCTAGGCTTCAGCGATTACCTAGTATAGCAAAGGTAGAACTCAAAGATCTACTTGGTGAGAAATTTCCCAGATGATACTACTGGAACAGATGACCTCCAAACTCCTTCTAGCTCTTTCTAGACTTGGGCATTATGGTACAGACAGTAGTCTTCTGATGCCCTGTACCTGGAAAGCAGGCTTCCTTGTGCGAAGGCTTATCCTACTGTTTACAAAATGGTTACTTTACTGTATTTGGAGTCTGGCTTTGCCACTTTTTGGGTCCTCATAGCAAAGCTCCCTAACTCTTCTGAGCCTCAGGCTCCCCATCTACAATATGTTCATCTATCAGGGTTGTGCTGAGGACTGAGTGCAAAGCACCTAGCATGTATATGAATGGTCAGAGATGTTCAACAAATGGTTACCCTAACAACTGGCTAAATTTTATTATCATTAAATTACTCCCAGCATCATCTCACAACAAAATATTAGACCACTACTTATGAAAACTAACCCAAAGGTATAAAGGCATCACAGGTAAAGACACATCCTGTTCACAGAGGGCAAAATCTCATCTATTGCTCCTTCCTTTCATCATATAAAGGTACCTATCTAGTGACACATGACATGAAGGGTCACCCAGGGAAGACTGGAGTGAAAGTTAAAACGACTTAAGAAATTTTATCTATAAAGTTTTCTTTCTACTCAGTCAAGCTAATAAACTGACCAGTTCCTTGAGTCCTCATGTTTGGTGACCACAGCGGGTCCCTTGTATGGGAGTTCTCTCCCCAGGCACTTTTGGAAATCCCAGATCTCAAGGAAAGAACCATTTCTAGGGCCTTAGATGAATAAGATGTTTTGGTGTTTTGAGCCCACGGTAACTTTCAACACTGTGCCTTTTTCTTTGTGTAAGAAAGTATTGAATCTCTTACTTTACAAGTAATATCTAGACCATAGGAATTTTCTCCTCTACTTGTCGCTCCTCCCATTTTTTCAATTCTTGAGATCACACCCAGAGGAACATCAAGTATTAGAGCAGAATCCTGCAATGGACAAAAAATAAAAAAGTCAGTATTTCTGTCAGCATAATGAAAACATCAAAAGCATGTAAAAAATAACCATAAGCTTTCAAGGTTTTTTTTTACCACTTTATGATGAAAAATGTGATCTAGATCATATAGGAAAAGTAAAATGCATCCCCAAACATTTGCCACTGTGCATTGCCTAGGAGACTAAACTCCTAGGGTACATCATTTCAGAACCCTGTTAAATCACTCACAGCCTGTTTCTGTAGCTTGTCTACACAACATTCTCCCCTCCAGCTAAGTGAGCTGTTCCCCATTTTTCAAACACTTTGTCTACAATCAGGTCATGTGCTTTGCTCAAGGTACTGCTTTGCCTAGAATGAGCTCTTTCCTAACTACCAAAATTCTCCTCCATGGCTGTACCCGGGGCTCAGCAAGCAGTACCTCTAATGAAGCTTTGCTTCCCAATTAGATCAAGTAAAATTAACTACTTCCTCCTCTGAAGTTCCACAGCACTTGAGTCAGATTCTGTTACACCACTTGCTTTTTTCTATCTTGTTACCATGAATTTACACGTGTGTATTTCCCCACTAGAACTCAAGCACCTGGAAGTAATATTTGTCTCAACTATAAGTGTACTTTCCAAAGCAGAAGAGCTTGAATGCACAGCTAAAGCTTTTCCAGTGTTTGCAGGTCGTGGGTGCAAGCGATCCGTGAGACTGCTGGCATGATAGAATCATGTTAGGGAAGTAACATCACAAACACTGTAACCAGATATAACCATTCCAGGACAAAGGTAAAGTACTTCTGTTTCCTCATGTGGCAACTCAGGTTTTATTTTTTTTCCTTTTTCTTTTATTATTCATATGTGCATACAAGGCTTGGTTCATTTCTCCCCCCTGCCCCCACCCCCTCCCTTACCACCCACTCTACCCCCTCCCTCTTCCCTCCCCCCAATACCCAGCAGAAACTATTTTGCCCTTATTTCTAATTTTGTTGTAGAGAGAGTATAAGCAATAATAGGAAGGAACAAGGGTCTTTGCTGGTTGAAATAAGGATAGCTATACAGGGCATTGACTCACATTGATTTCCTGTGCATGGGTGTTACCTTCTAGGTTAATTCTTTTTGATCTAACCTTTTCTCTAGGTCCTGTTCCCCTTTTCCTATTGGCCTCAGTTGCTTTTAAGGTATCTGCTTTAGTTTCTCTGCGTTAAGGGCAACAAATGCTAGCTAGCAACTCAGGTTTTAAAAAGCATCAGTAACTTGCTTAGTAAATATGGGGCAGGGTTCAGATTCAAGCCAAGGCTTGGGAACATACACTAAAGAGCCATAAAAATAGTCCTACTCTTTGAACCAATTCATTTCACTCCTAAGAACTTACAGCTACCACTCAACAACAGGACAAAACTATGCGCAGAAAGATGCTCCATGGGGTCAGGGGTGGTTATCAAGGTAGAGAATATTAGTCACTCAGTGGAACAGTTATGAAGCTATTAAAACAATTGGAGTACCTGGGAAAATAAGTTTAAGTGGAAAAAGGCAGCATGCAAAATATACTGTGACTACGATAAAATAAATATTCATATGGATCAAAATAAGAATGACTGTAAAATTTTTAATCCAAAATGTTCTTTAATGTTGTTAGATGAGTTTGACAATAAAGAATAAAAATTGTTACAAGGTGGTTAAATTTTTGCTGTTTGAAAATGCCATTTGGGGGGAATACAATGATAGTGATTTTTCTTTTAAACCCTTCTCCTTAAAAGACAATAAAGAAAGTAAGCGTCTCTTCATGAAGTATAAATGTAGCTCTGGGCTATCTAGAAGTTCAAACATTGTAAGGCTGTGGCGCATCCATAGCACGGACTCAGCAGCCAAAACGAACAGACTAAGGATGCATGCTCCCCAGAAGAGCTTCAGGGGCACTGCTGAGTAAATAAAGCCAACCTCAAAGGGCCACATGCAGTGTGATTCCACCTATGCAACATTCTTTGGTTTGTTTGTGTTTGTTTGGTTGTTGGGTTGTTTGCATGGTTTTTGGAGACAGGGTCTCACTACATAGCCCAGGCTGGCTGTAAACTTGCAATCCTCCTGCCTCGGCCTTCCAAGTATTGACATTACAGATATGTACCACCATGCCAGGCTATGAAACATTCCTGAAATGACAAAATCATAGAAATGGTGCACAGAAAAGTGGTTATGAGGGGAGGAGGGTGTGAGTATGAAGTTCTTTTGTGGTGATATCACAGTTCCATATCTTCACTGCTAACAGTGGTTACATGGATCAAATGCCACAGAACTGTGCACAAAAACACATAAAAAGTGAATACATTTAAAAAAGAAACCTGGTAAAATCCAAGTACTGGTTAACCATAATGTTCCCAACAACTTTCTGGCTTTGATAAAACAATACAGCTATGGGAGATGGGAGATGGTGTATGGGTACAAAAGACATCTCTCTACAATTTTTGCAAGTTCTTATTAGGTTTGTAATGATTTCAAAATAAAAAGTCTAAAAGCTTATGTACAGTTATCATGAAGAGAAAAAAGGCAAAAACTCTTAAGATGGGAAAAAATTGGTTCAAATCCAAGTTTTGACATTTATTAGCTGAATGACTTTGGCAAGTAACTGCTATCTCTTAGCCATATTTACTTGCAAAGTAGGGATGATTAGGGATAATGGATTTAAAGTACCTAGCATAGTGCTTGTCAGTGGTACCCAGAAAACAATGAAAGTTGTTGTTATCATCATCATGATGTCAAAGAACATCTTAGGAGAGGGTGAATCTAAGATACATTGTAAGCATTTTTGGAAATGTCACAATGTACTCCTGGTACATATGCTAATAAAATAACATCTTTGCATAAGAAAGATATAATTGTGCTCTGCAAATACCGTGTATCAGTATGCTCTACCAAGCATGTGACAGATCTTTCTATTTGCACCTATAAGGAGGCATTTTTTGCTATTGCTATGGGGTGAGACGTTTCACTGCATGACTAAACTCAGTTTAATTATTACAAACATACTGTCAGGTATACATTATTATGCTTAGATTATATTGAGATTTACATGTGTCTGTGTCAAGTTTACACATAAAATACATAGACTAGATGCCATATAAAAGTCTAGTACTCTAATATGAACATGGAAGCAAATTTTTTTAAAGGAAGACAATTAAAAGTGTGAGGAGATCTTGTTGCTTATTTGTTCTGTACAGAGGAAACACAGACCACCCTGGCCGAACACAGTGTAGAAAATGGGCAGTGAGGGGAACTAGGCAGCTCCTGACCAAAAGCACCCACAGTCTAACGAGGCTACCTGCCATGTTCTTCCTGAATGACATGCTCTAGATGTGATAACTCAGCAGGCCAAACAGGAAGATCCAGGAATAGGAAAATTAGTTCAACTCTCTGGAAACCTGAGTCATCACTATCTGAGTATCATTAAATATTGAAAGAGTCTTAAAGTCAATTGTAACTCAAAATTCTGAGCCTTTGTACCTCTAAGTATCTAAAATAGTTGTGAAAGGAGTTTGATAAACAAGCACAAACAATGCATTCATTCCCGCCCCCCCAACATATACTAAGTATCAGGAATTGTACTAGGAGATAAGACACACGGACCCGAGTAGCACGATACCAGCTGGCAAGTGCCAAGAGTTATAAGAGTCCACACAAAGTGGAATGGGAGGTCAGAGAAGGGCAAGGCTGTACCTCATTGTTTGGATCCCATGAAGGTTCTGTGGTGATGAGCACATTCAAGGCACTCCTTAAAGGTTGGAATAACAAAGGGTGGAGGTGAGCCTTGCAAACACAGGTAACAGTCACATCAGCTGAGCATGTGGGTTTTGTAAAAACACAAGTAGTGCAGATTCAAGAGCAAGTACCCAGAATTCCCTGGGGAGTAGGGCAGGGCTAGGCTCATGGTGAGTGAGAAGAGGAATGCCACAATCAAATGGTGCTTTGTGCAGATTCAGTGGCAGCACTGAGCATTCTGGACTACCAAGGAGAGGGCTACACCCACTCCTGGACATGATAGAGGCTAATGCTTGAGAGGCTATAAGGATCTGAGAGTGGAGGGGAACTGAGGGAGGAAGCAGAGAAGATCAGCTGCAGAAGAATCAAAGATGACACAGATTTAAGTCCACATGTCCAGGATAGATGACAGTGGTCCCACTAAAAGATGAGCAGAACACAGGAGGGGGTTTGGCAGACACGTGGGGTGTGAGGTTATGATAAATGAACCAAATAAAGATATCTGGGAGGCAGCTAGAAATACCGAATGGGAAGAGATCCCAAGGACCACTCACACCCAAAAATGCCTGGAGCAAAATGCATGCCTTCTCTCTCTCCAGATGACGTCTTCCTCCTGGGTTTCCTATCTCAGTGGCTGGCACTCCATCCCCCTGGCTTCAAAAGCTACAAACATAGGTGTCATCTTTGATGTCCCCTGCAATGCTACCCTTAATCTATCCTTCCATGTCTATCTCTTAAATCAATCTCCATCTGTCAACCTCTTCGCAACTCCCCCAGCAACTTCTCTGTACCACTACGATGGCCACCACAGTGGTCCCTTTGCATCAATCCACTATTGCTCCCCTGATAATCAGCTCTGCCACAGCAGTCAAGAGGGTGGCAGCCTGGGGAAGCACATCTAAAGCTATGGTTCCTTTGTTACCCCTTCAAAAGCTTCTTGTAATTGAACTCTAAAAAGCCTAAACTTGGAGCATGAGACAAGAAGCTACTGGTCAACTGATAGAAAATTTCAGTAAGACTCAGGCCTGGTGACTACAGAATATATTGTATTCTTGAAAAACTGCTGAGAGAATAGACTTTAAGTTTTCTCACCACAAAAAAATGGTAAGTGTATGACCTTATATATATATGTTTATTAGCTTGCTGAGCTGTTCCACAGTGTACACATATTTCAAAACATGTTGTGCATGATAAATATGTGCAATCTTATTTGTAATTTAAGTTAGTTAAAAGAAAAAGAAATAACAAAACCCCAGAT